AAGAGCACAGATAAAGGGAAACATATGAAGACTGTACCAAATATAAGGTCTAATTAATTAGATACAGTGTTTCCTCAAAGGAAAGCTAACAACTGTTTCTCCGTCCTTTCAATATTTTATTCAGGCTGGAAGAAACCAGGAAGAAACAAGATTCCATTCAGGTTTCCCCCCCTCACCACTCTTAAGCCACTTTCACATATGTTGGAAAAACCAAATTGGAACATTATTATTGGAACAGTCGTCCTTGCTCGTATGCAGCACACATGTGCTATTCTCACACAGCTGCAAATCGGCACAACAGGACATCACACGGACTTGGTGCTAAGGAGTCGGCTGATCATAAACCTTTTAATGCTTTAGAATTGATTAAGTATGATCTATAAGTTAACTGCATAAACCCTTTCACATCTTTTCCGTTCTCCCACCTCCTTCTCCTCTCCTGACCTTTTTCCAATCTAAAGGTAAACGCTGTGGTTTCAATTAACTGCTGGGAAAATGTTTCAACATCTCAGGGACTGCCACACTCACAGGCTCTTTAATGGAAAGGGTCTTTTCACAATTCTTAATCACTTTTGTTACAACTCCCCTCCCCAGTAACTTTGGACTTCTCTAATGACGGGATAAATAACTCTGACCTTCAGTCATGCTGACATTTATATAACATTATTTTATAAGCCATACTTTACACAGCAGCTATTTCTAATCCCTGAACTACATTATTTCTCTTCCAGTGCTCACAGTACATAAAGTTGTAGTCAAATGACACCAATGCTGGAACTACAGCCTTGGACTTTTGCAGTGGGCAAACTTCCTACAGGTATTACACAACTTTTCACTTTTGTTTTCAAGAAACTAAATCATTCAATCTTATAAAAGTTCACAAACGATTTTTTGTTAAATTATTGTTTTAATGTCAGACAGTTATAGTTTTTATCCTTTCAGCCCTGGTGGTGTTTAACAGCCTTTAGATGCTACTGAAAAACTACAGGCCCTTATAGTATCTGTGCACACAGATCAGAGGGCTATTTTTCAGAGATTCAAATTATCATTGGACTGTGATATCGGCTTATTGATCCATAATCTGAAAAATAACCTGTTCCCACACAGGCTAGGTCTACACCGTACGTTATCATGGTAATATACCCTGGTAAGAAGTGAACCGTCTTCATAATAATCCTAAAGTTACATAGTTAAGCTCAAATCCTGCTTTGTAGCTCAGGTCTCTGTTATATCGGCCATCTGCTTTCACAGAACAATTTTGGAAAAACCTGATGTACTCTGACTGCCCAGCAACAACTTAGCAGACACACAAAGTACAGCATTTAACTGCTATTAGTCAGTGTCGGGCATGTTGTGTTACTTATTCACATCTGAAGCTTTTAGTATTTTTAAAAAGTTGTCTCAAAACATGCATCAGACAGCCCTCTAATCACAACCGCTGTCAAAATAAAATGCCCACAGAGCCCTTGCTCTCTTGTCTCCTCTTTTCTTCTTTTTCCAGCATACGCACACACGCACACACGCACACATCCACACATAAACAAGATTAATCATTGCCCACTGCCAGGTCCAGCATGCTCCCTGCATTGACCTCTCCCTGCCTGACATCAGATCAGGACTGGGATACACATGTAATCTCCCATATCTCCCTCAGCCTTGGGAGCTGCTCTCGCTCCCTCATTGCAAACGCCCCCCAGGTGACCAGCGGATGTGATGGTGGTGGTGGTGGAGGTGGTGGGTAGTGGAGTATGTGCCCCAATCACACAAATACACATTTTCACAGAAAAAACAAACAAGGCACCCAGAGGACTTTTACAGTCTTTCAGTAGCAAGCGCGTCCATCCCTGATGTTTCCCAGTGAAGAAAAAGTGATAAATGTGCTTTAAAAGACATTGTGGGTTTTGCTCTGGTGATTAAGCTTATTATCCATGCATCTCACTGTTGTTATTCTGCTGTGTGTTGAGCTAATAAATGTCAAATATGATTTGTCTGTCTGCGAGCAAGAAAATGCCGGGGCCGCTCTCTACAACACGAACCCATACACTCATCTCAGTTGTGCATGACATTTAGGCCTATAACGATAATTGCTTTCTCTGGAGTCTAAACTCTGACGGGAGTTGTTTCCACACTGTGTAATGCAATCGCAGCACCAGCCTAGCTGCTATAGATCCTCAGCTGCAGTGTGGCAGCTTGGCTTTTACCCATGAAAACCCAGCCAGTGGAAAATATTAATTATTATCCTTGTAGCTCATCTACTTTCCTTTACTTTAGGGGCAATTTAAAAAAAGGCAAAATCTGCTTAACTTGGAAAAGCACAGCAATTAATTGTGATCTAGTTTAACGAGGGCCCACTTTGACGTGTTAATGTGGCTAATTAACAGTCAATCAGGAAGTGATATGGACTTTGAGTGCCTGCCACTAGACATTAGCCACATTTCTATCCAAAGTACCCAAAGCTTCTACTTACAAAAACTTTTTAATGTAACTAAAAGGTGCCTTGAGAACAATGGTTGTCTGCATTTTCACTGTTCAAGCATTGGAGTACATTAGATAAAGTAATCTGCCAATGTTGTGACAGGTAAATCTGAGCAGCGAGACGGCACTCTGGAGGATACAACCACTTTGGCAGAGGAAACTTGCCAAAGATACACACAACTGTGGTGAATTTTTGCAAGCTTTTTACCAGAATTGTCTGTGAGGTGGCAGAGATAGACAGGGTGAAATGTCAGCCAATCAGCACAGCAAGTCACACACCCAAAGTTGCTGAACTCTGAGAAAGTACAGCTGCGGAGCGGTGACTTTCAAGGGAATAAATCAATTTCCACAAACTTAGATGCTGGTCCCTCCAAAGGTTCCTGCAGTAAGTTAAGTGGTTGGTAATGAAGGTGCTGATGTGTTAATACCACACAGGGGTGTTTAACAAGGGCATGCGAATTCCACAGACACTTTACTGCAGAGTAATGTACTGTACTGACATACACATGAGCAAATATACATC